CCACCGTTGTCTGTGCGGACGCCGCTTGGCCGAAGGGGTCATGGAAGGGCGAGGAGAGGCCGAACCCCCAGGAGCGAGCCTGGGAGCCAGTGCCCCCCCCCAGATGTCCTTGTCCGGAGGACGGGCTCTCCCGCCCGCCTGTGCCCGAGGCCGCACGGGCGTGGATTTTTCTAGAAAGCCAGGCCCCTTTGTAGGTGGCTGAGGGTGCGTCCTGTCCTGTCCTGTCCTGCGAGTGCGTGCCCCTCCACACCTCGGTGTAACCCCAGCTCTGGCTCCAGGATCTCCACTTTCGGGGAGACACTTGATTCAGCTGTTCACCAAGCAAATTCGTCTCCCATTTCAAGATTCCTAGTCAATTGTGACTTTGCTTGCTGACCCCTGGAATGTGTGCCCCGTGTCCATCCTCCCCCGAGTGACCGCTAGGAGCCCCGGCGGTGCACCAAGGCCTCGGCCACTAACAGAAAGGTTAGCAGTTCCAGGCCACCGACGCCACCAGGGAGAAGACGTGGCATCTGCTTCTCTACTGCAGACGGCGGGTAACCCCCGGGCAGTCCTGCTCTGTCCTGCAGGGTCGCTGGTTCAAAACTGACTTGAGGGCAGTGGGCTCTTCTGGTCCCCAGTTTTCTCTGCTTCTTGCTTTTTCATTTTTGCTTTTTTGAGCAGATACTACCTGTTTGTTTTCATAGGGTTAGTGGTTCTGAAGATCATTCCAAAGACATGGTGATTTCCCGCCATGAACCTATTCCCACGCCAGACCACTCAGAATTCTTAGTGTCAGTTCCAATCATAGAATAATATGTGATTAATATTGTTGTACATTGCTTAAATGTAATATTTCTTAGATTATGTGAATACTAACAAAATTGTTTTGCAAAATTACCTTGAATCAGCGTTCTTAGTGACATTATTGGTAACAGAGTGAAAGACTATTTTTCTCATTTTCTTTTAATTACGTTTTCTATCTATATTGGTTTATTCACATAGTTCATATACACTGTTTTTCACACCAGATCTTTTAATTACTTTTTAATTATAAAAAAGTTGTTGATATAAAAACACTAATGTGAATTTTCACTGTGGGAGCGAAAACTCCAGAAAGTTTGACGAAGTCAGCATGAAAAGCGAGAACAACATTGCGAGCTTGTAGCACCTGCAAAGCAAGCCACATTTCATTGGGTTTGATTCAGAGCAGGCCTGAAATTGAGGGACAGTGGCAGCTCTGACCAGAGAATATATGTTGTTGTTGTTGATCGCCTTTGAAGTCGAGCACGACTCAGAGTGACTCTGTGAACAAAAGGCCTGAAGCCCCTGTACAACTATAGACATTTATCAAAATACATAGAGTTTCCAGGGGCATGCTGTTTAGGAAGTGGATACCTCTCCTGCTTTTAAACCTATTGTATGATGTTATTGTTGTTATGTGCCATTGAGCCTCGTGCAATGTACAGCGGCTCTGAACCCTTCCCTGTCCTGAGCCAGTCTCACTAATTCTGACGCACCAACCCCCAACACCCCAGTCACTGTAAAGAGTCTCCCCCTCCTGTTCTGTCCATCCACCCATCCGAGCATGATGTCCTTCTCCAAGGACCCACCTCTCCTGGCCACACGCCCAAAGTAAGTGAGGAGGAGTTTCAAAATCCTAGCTTCCAAGGAAAGACTTGTTTTCACCCTTTCCAAAGCTGACCTGTTGGTTTTCTTGGCAGTCCATGGTATGTTCAAGACTCTTCTCCAGCACCACATCTCAAAGGCATCTATTACTTTTCTGTCATCCTTGGTCATTGTCCAACTCTCTGAAGCATAACATCAGAGAACATGAGACGGTTCAAAAAAGTTACCTAGAGCTTTAGTCGTGGGGGCTCTGGTGGTGGAGTCCCTGGGGGTGGGCTGCTCACCCTAACAGAGTGCTCAGCTGGTTTGAATTCACCATTGATTCCTTGAAAGATGAGAAATCTCTTGAGCGATTTATGATCATAGAAATCTGCTGGAGGTCTGACAAATGGTTCCAACTTGACGGCAATGAGATTTGAGGTTTTAATTGTAGGTATGTTGCTATAGGCGAACTGAGTTTATGAGAAATATTTTTATTGTTATAAGAACTCTTGATAAAAGTGAGTGAATTTCTGCTGAAACTCTGCAAAGAAATTGCATGGATAGTAATTTTTGCAGTGTCGCCAGCTGAAGTCTGTGCCCTCTTCGTGAGGATACTAATCAGTGGCAGTGACCACAGGGGTTACCGCTTAGTTTAGGCGCCAATTTATGATCTGGCTGAAAGGTGACGTTGGGGAGTGGCTTCAGTGCCACGCTAAAAGGGTATCGGTCCTTTCTCACTTTTAACTAGTTGAAAGGATGGAACTCAATTCTGTTTCAAAGAGACCTCGTATTCCCTTAGTAATGTGCTTGTTCAGTTGTTGGACCGCTACTTTACTGTGTCCGAGTGTCTACAGTACACGTACTACCTGGAGAAGATAGCGCGTACTACCTGGAGAAGATAGCACGTACTACCCAGAGAAGATAGATATTTGGAGGTGACTGGCAAATAGAGTGTTATAATAACGTCTTAAATCATTTAAATCAGCTTTTCTGCTTGGACAGTCATCACGTATTTAGTGCCTTTGTGTGTAACTTTTGTGTTATTGCTACAACACTTGGTTGGCTAGAAAGTTTTGTTGGTATTTATATTGTAAATCTAGCCTTAGAAATTCCAAAGACTGATTGACAAAACATTTGGTTTGAAAATAGATATTAAAGCCATAGAAAGAGAGACAAAGAAGGAGAAATGAGTAAGATGTAAATGGAGAAAAACAGGGGCTTAGCAGTAGAATTCCGTGTGTGTATGTGTGTGTGTGTGAGAGAGAGAGAGAAAGGGAGGAAGAGAGAGAGAGAGAGGATGAATACACGCGGCTAGGGACTCAAAGTCTG